CACATGAACTATGCAGGTACATGACTAAAAATAGAAGATTAATAAATCAAGTTTATTTTTCCAACAGTTTGCTGGTACACTTCCCTTTCCGGTAGAAGAGGAACTCAAGAGCACTGGCAGCGTGCTGCAGCAAATGGCCCATCAAACCCACCATGATGATACTAAAACAACCAATTTGGACCCAATTCTTAATCAAACCAGTGCAGATGAATTTCGTCCGAACTTAGACCTGACTCTGGCACCACCTGTGGTGGCTTGTGAAGGAAATCAGGCGCCTACAATGGGGTTGTTTGGAACTGAGGCAGAAACCTTCAATCCAAGGATTGTTTTGAATTTAGATCTTACTCTCGCACCACCCAAAGTATATTAGGTGCCTTTATTTGCCTTTCTTTTTTTGTTTGCCCACACTTCCCAGATATTAGCTAGATTTTTTTAATATTCCCCCTTTCTTTTTCTTGAATATCCTCGAAATGTAGTGCTGAAGTTAGTTTATGTTTACTTGGAATAATAATATACATGTTGTTCTGGGGACCATGCAGATTCATCTGCAATTAAAAAATCCCAATCATGCGGAAACTGCTTGACTGGTTGACCCATCTTATGTACTTTGATATAGTCATATGCCTTCGTTTCCCCTAAATTCTGAAAATCGCAAGGGAAAGGACTCAGATCACAGGTCGGTCTCTTCCCCTCTACGCTGAAAACCCATCGTTTTTGGTAGTGCCCCAACGGATCGGTAGATAGTGCTTTCTATGGTGGTGCCCTTGCTCTAACTCGCATCCTGTAAGTCAAGATTTTAGCAACTATTTATGTTATGTTTCTTACTTTAACTATATATACTTTGCATATGAACAAATGGATACCTAGCTAATCCCAAACCCAATTTCCATAGATCTAGTATTGTCATGAGACAGTTTGTTATTATCAACCCCCTTTCCCTCAAAACCATGAGTAGTTAGCTTGCTAATTAGCTCCATGTCTTTTTCCCTTCTCCTTCTTTAATAAGAAATTTCGCCTGTAATTCTGCAGCTCAAAGTTGAACCTTTGTTTTACTTTGTTTTGGGTGAGTTGTTCTTCATAGGGTAACCTGGCGATCTTGTTAGAGGGAGAAAAAAAAAATAAAAAAATAAAAAAATAAGAAAAAGAAAGAAGAAGAAGACATTCATTTTCTACCTAATTTTTTAAAAGAATTTTTTCCTAAGTTATTGGAAAAAAGTAAAATGATATTTTTTTTAAATTGAAAAACATAGATTTATTGAAAAGAAATTTTTTCTCGGGTTTTAGTCTTCGGAGATCGATAACGACCCTTTTGCTTCCTGGGAAATCTCTCATGGTGTGAGAAATGCTTCTGCTTTAAAGATCTTTTGACCATAAATTTTCCCTTTTTCTCCATGCTTTTGCGGAAACCCTAGATTTTCCCCTTTTTCTCCAATCTTAAAGGTCATTTAAATGAGTGCCTTTTTCCCTTTTTAATTCTCTCTAAGAAAATAATTTAAAGATAACATTTTTAATATCATCTTTTAGTATAACTTTACATATTATTTAAATGATTAATTTTTTTTATTTATTGAAGATTATGATATTGAGTACATGTATTTATTTAATAATGATAATTTTAAAGAATGAAAAATGTTGATTCATTTCTTGAACTCATTTCTACATCTCGGTAAAGGCAAATGTATATATATACAAAAACAAGGAACCGGCTTTTGTGTGAAACCATTTGGAGAAATTACGGCTGGCACTAGCTACAATAATGAACTTGTAGACAATTGTGCATTTCAACAGAGATGGTGTATCAAGGCAGAAGACAACTGAGTGAAGACTTGATCTTGCAGGGAGTTGCAATATGCATTTTTCTAGTGCATTTATTAGCATGTCTGCATATATCAATATTATAACACCTCCCTCAAACTCAAGGAGGTGAAGAGGAAACCAACTAGCGTTTGGATAAAAGGGCATGGAAGCATCTAGGAAAATATGCCTTAGTAAAGAGGTCTGCTCGCTAATCAATGGAGTCAATGTAGATTAAGTGAACAGTTCCTCGACTAGCATGTTGGTGAATAAATTAACAATCAATCTCAATATGTTCGGTGTGCTCATGAAAAATCTCATTGTAAGTAATTTGTATAGCACTCTGATTATCACAATAAAGATTTGTGGTAGAGGACTGTGAAACACCCATATCCTCAAGAAGCCAACAAACCCAAAGAAGTTTTACCACGGTATCAGTTAAAGCTCTATATTCAGCCTCAGTGCTAGAGCAAAGTGCTAGAGCGAGATACAAAGGTTTGTTTCTTGCTATGCCAAGAAATAAGAGTCTCCAAGAAAAAGGTAGTAACTAGTAGTAGATTTGCGATCAGTGGGATCACCAGCCCAATCAACATCGGAATATGCACGAAGTACAAGTGAAGAATGGGCAGAAAAGTGGAGTCCATGAAACAGTGTTCCCTTGACATAACGAATAATGCGAAGTACAACTGCATAATGAATGGAGTGAGGGGCAGCCATAAATTGACTAACAACATGATTGCATATGCTTTATCAACGCATGTTATAGTAAGATAAATCAAGCTCCCAACTAACTGTCAAGACACAGTAGGATCTTTAAGTAGAGAACCATCCATGGGTGTAAACCGAGCATTTGGTTCAAGAGGTGTCGAAGCAGTCTTACTATTAGTCAATCCAGTTCTAGAGATAAGATCGGATGCATACTTTGCCTAAGAGAGAAGGTAGCCATCATTTGAAGTGGTGACCTCAAGGCCTAAGAAATAACTTAAAGGACCAAGATCTTTCATCTCAAATTTTTGGCTACAAAACTGCTTAAGTTCATGGATATCTGAAATATCATCTCCAGTGATAATCATATCATCAACATAAAAAAGTAAGAGAATCATTCCCTAAACAATCTTATGAATGAACATTCGGAAAGCTTCTTTTTAAAAATAAATAAATAAACTAAACTCTCCTAGAAAGGAAATATTAAATTATTAATTAACTTTATAAAATAATAATAATAATAATAACAACAACAACAATAACAACAACACTTAGGAAGATCTTTCAAATATACATTTTTACGTATAAAAATATATGTTGGTGGATGGTGGTTTAGATGGAGCATCTATAGTTTAATTGCATTTCTCCAAGAAAGAAAGAAAGAAAGAAAGAAATACCAAAGTTTTTTGATAGATGTATTAATGCTCTGTCGGGAAGGAATTGGGAGCAAGTATTTTTCTTGTTTCATCATGGTTTATATGGTATTGGAGGAACTGTACAGTGTTCTAGGGAGATGTGGCTCTTAAGGAGGGGTTGTTGGATATGATACAGGAAAAGACATTTTTCTGGGTTAAGAATAAAGTGCAGGGATGTGTTTTTTCTGTTTGGGATTGGAAGTTAAATCCTCATGAGTGCGATGCGGCTATTAGAAATCATAAGAGGAGGTAGAAGGAGTTCCATCAACATCAAAAAGGACGGGTATAGAGATGTAGAAAGTAGCAAGTTGTTTGTCTTTACTTCTATCTTGTTGCCTTTGGTTATACTTTAATTTTGTAATTGGGTTAGAGTACTCCTTGTACTCTATATAATACAGTTGAATTTTTGCTGATAAAAAAAAAAAAAATGCTCTGTCCTAACACTTAGCATGATCTTTCAAACCTACATTTTTACATATAAAAATATATGTTGGTGGATGGTGGTTTAGATGGAGCATCCAGTTTAATTGCATTTTCTCCAAGAAAAAAGGAAAGAAATATCAAAATTTTTTGATAGATGTATTAGTGCTATGTCCAACAACTTGTAATGATTAATGTCTTTGTCCATGAATTTTGATATTGATTGATGACTCCGACTATTTAGTAGTTATTTCCACTTCCTAATCTAAAGTA